AACCCTCTAATTTTTATGTGGCTATATCCATTCTTCTGTTTAGTTGGTCTTTTAAAGTATTGCTGTTCAGAATTTTAAATTTTAAGATACCTAGTTGATTTTTGTTGAGTTGACATATTTTCTCACAAACTCTTTATGTTTCTCAATTAAACTTTTTCTAAGGTTGTAGCTTTGTTAATGTTGTATCTTCAAGTGTCAGTTTGATAGACTATGTGCCAGCCTTCAAAGAAAGCTTGACTTTCCTCAAATATTTGGTGATTTTTTTATTTTTGTGCTCTTCTGTGAATTTGAGATTTTCTGTTAGCCTGTATGCAAATGCTGCCTTTGCTTGTCTGGGCAGTGCTGGGGTGTGTGATAGTACATTTTGGTCCAATAGCTGGTCTTATGCTGTGGAAACAACCTCTTTCTTCTAGGCATTACCTCAGTGTATTTCTTTACCCACTAAAATGCCCACACTTACTGCTGTATACTGAGTGATCTTGTTTGGCTCCACAATCTGTCAGTCATTGTCCCAGCCTCCCACTTTCCAGTGCCAGTAACCTCATTTCGTCTTTTGAACGTTTGCTTTTTTCCTCATTATGATCTCCTCACCCACTACCCCCACCTACCCTCAGTCTTTGTGGAATTTCTCATTGAAATGTATTGATAAAGGACATTTCTGATATTCTGTTGTTATTATTATGGAAATATGCAGAGGGTGCCAAAAAATGTATACACATTTTCAGAAAGGAAAACTATTAAAATTGCAGTACTCCATATATACCAATAACAAAAGATGAATACAAGTCATGTTTGACTTCTACAATTACAAGAGGTGCTCAAAGTGGTTACCATCAGTATCCAGACACTTCTGATTATGGCATGAGCTACTTGCTTGAGCAACGTTGACCAAAGTGTCCACTTGTATACATTTTTTTGGCACCCCTGGAGTGTGTGTGTGTGTGTGTGTGTGTATTTGTATTCTAACTATATATGTTGTACAAATGTGAAGTTAGGATTCTCAGCTCTGCCAAGTTAATTTCTAACAGAGCATCCACTTTACCAGCATGTGGTTTTCTCTTATGTGCTGTAGCTTCTTCCATTCTTTTTGTCCTTGTGGGACTTTATTGTTTTTTTCCCTCTTTAGTATTGCTTTAGTGAGGTTTTGAGAGAAGGCAGAGATAAACCAGTCTATTGAATCTGCTATGTTTAACCAGAAAGCTGTAGATCATTATTTTACTCCATTGATGAATTAAATGTGTTGGTATTTTCTGTAGAATTTGAACATCGCTAATTTTAGTGAGATTATTTTACTTTTGTGTTTTTGAGAGTCAGATTTATGTTCATCTTATAAGACAAGTATAGTAGTTCTCCATCTTTTTTGTGTTATGATGGTTTCGAATTTGAACAAAATGTAAGTTTTGTAAAGAATTTAATAATAAATTATATGGGTACAGGTCTCTGAGGGGAAACTATTAATGATTTTTTCAATTATTCTATAATGGTTTTCTTTTTATGTGTCAACTTTCAATGTTTACACTTTCTGGACAGTCGTTCCCTCTCAGTTTTTCAAGTTTTATTGGTATATAACTATACATGACTTTTTTTTATTTGTTTCTTTATTGGATTTGCCAGTACCTTATCTTATTTTGTTTATTTGCTTTGTTGTTGTTATCCTTTAACCCCATAAAATTATTTGGAACTTCTTCATCAATCACAAATGCTAAAGTAGAAATTATCTTTCTCCTAGAGTTGTTAAGACTATTTTTTCCTAAAATCTTAAGCCCACTGTACTATAAGTAATCTCTCATTATACTGTTGATTTATTCTAAGTTATAGTTAGCTAGTATGTTCTTTATAATTAATTTAATAAAAGTAAAGAGCCAGTTTTAGATTACTCAAATGATTACTTAGAGGGAAATTTGCCAGCTATTTGGGAGGAAAAAATGAAAACTCGGTCCCTTTGGCACAATATAAATCACAATAGATAAACACATCAAGATCAGTTAACAAATTGGAGGTGAAAAAAAAAAAGATATCCTAAACAAGCGGTCCCCAACCTTGATGCACTTTGGAATCAACTGGGGGGGCTATAAAAATTCTCATGCCTAGGCTGCACCCCAGACCAATTAAGTCAGAATTTCTGGGGGTGGGAGGCATCAGTAGGTTCTTAAAGTCCTCGGGTAGTTGCAATGTCAGCAACCATTGTAATCTGGGAACCGCTGCCTGTGTTTTCAAAGTGTGGTGCCTGACCAAGAGCATCTGCCACATTTTGGAGCTGGTTAGAACTGCAGAGTAGCAGGGCCCGTGTCAGACCCACTGAGTCAGACTCTGAATGTTAACAAATTCCAGGTGGTTCCCTGCACATGGAATTTGAATAGCAGATCTCTAAAGCAGGTGTAGCAAACTAGGCCCCATGGTCTATTTATCTGAATATAATGTTACTGGAATAATGCACCCATGCCCATTCATTTACATATCCTTTACAGCAGAGTGTGTAGTTGTGAGAGAACTCAAAATGTGTACTATCTGCCCATTTACAGAAAAGTCTGCAATGCATTTCAACCTTGATGGCTCATTAGAATCACCTCAGGAACTTTAACACTTCCTCTGCCTGGCTGTACCCCAGGTCCACTGAGTCATAACCAGGAGGAGGAAGTGGCCCAAGTATCAATCATTCTTTAAGCTTCCCAGGAGATTTAAATGTGCAGCCAAGGTTCAAAGCCACTGTCCTAAAAGTACACGCACACACAAGATTTTCAGGATGAAACCAGTAGTGGCTAATACATTCCTAAAACACCCTTATGTTCCCGACTGGCTTCAGTGATAGCAATCTTTCCCTACCTCAAGATTCTAATTTCATTATTTTATCTCTTAACAGCACATGACAATGGTGTTTGGATGAGATTAGCCACCCAGGTTGGGGTGGATGCTTAGGACCAACTGTACAATTTGTTAAAAAGACAGCTCCTGCTACTCCTTCTGATTGAATAAGGCTTGAGAACATCCTTGAAAATGTTTTTGTATGAACAGTATATTTTCTGAGACCTTGGATATTTGAAAAAAAATTTTTTTTGGCTTTACTTGCAGAACAGCTACTTGAATGGGTATACAAATACTTGTTTTAAAATTCTCAGTGTTTTCCAATTGTCATTTAAACTACTGTTATATAGGGTGATCTTAGTTGCACTAATGGTAACCCTTTCCCGCCTTGATACTTTATTTTTATTTTTTTTCATTTACTTTAATACATGAAATTTAAAGAAATAAAAAAAAAGCCGTACACTTCTCGGCATTGGTCTCAAAGAGCTGGTCTTCCATTTTATCTTTTAATCTCGAGTCACTTTTTCATCTCTAGAAAGTTAATTCCTGTTATGCCCTGGCCATTCTTATGATCTCATTGCCTGTACTTTCCTTTGGAAAACATTTTGTTCATAGATAGGTTGGGTCTCTGTAATCTTCACTCCATTTCTATTTTCTTAAGCTTCACCTTTTTTTCCCCACCCTTTTCCTTATTTGCTTTGTTTTCTGAGATGAGTTATCAGTTTTGTCCTCTGCATCGAGTTCAGTTTTCAGCAGTGTTACATCAACCTGTCATCTGTCTGGTTAGGATCACGTTTTTAGCTCCTGACCTTTTCATTTCATCAACATCCTTTCTCATCTCTGCACTTTCTTGTTTAATCAAAGTAATATGAATATCCTTTAGAATAGAAATCGAATGTTTTCTGAAAAAAAGCTTCTGTTCATGAAAGTAAATCCTATTCAGATGAGAAATTTCCTTTTGAGCCATTGTCCTTTTCTCTCTCTTGTGCTGTGGGATCCCCCCTGCACCCCCATAGGCTCTAAGTTAGCTTTGCCTTGTTACCTTACGCTTGAACAAGGAGTGATCTAACTGGGCCCGCTGTGGAGCTGTTTAGGAGGAAACTTCCTGTCTGTCTCCTTTCCTTGATTCATCCTGGGGTGTCTAGTGAATCACCACTGCTTCTTCCCACCACTGGGCTTTAGATGCCCACTTCTTGCCTCACAGATGGGGCAGAATGGAGGAGTCTTACCAATGGCTTCGGGCTGCCTGTCAACAACTTAGCCCACTCAGAGCTGAGCTCCACTTACGGCACATGGGAGCACTTAATCAAATGCTTTCGGAAAATCTGTAAAGGTTCCTTTGGGAGAATGGTATGATACGGAAAGTATCTCAAAGCTGTGATAACCAGTATTTTGAAAGCAAGTTTCTTGCCTGAAAGCAAGTTTCTTGCCTGACAGCCAAGTCTTAGAACCTCATGAGTGACTCAGGATGTTTTACACACACACACACACACACACACACACACACACACTTACCCTTGGCTATTAAAGCACAATAATAACTGGAATTTTCTTTAATCCTTGATTGTGTCTACCAGCCCGCCCTCGCCCTCAGTCACCTAGAAACTAGAAACACTGGCTCGTCTCCATTTGAGAAGTTGCTGATTTAGAAAAGAGAAACACTTATCTTGACACTTAGTAAAAGTGGAATTATATAAGTTCTGAATTCTGAAGTTATGAGGAGTGTGATCTTAGCAGAGAGCACTGTGAGCTATACTCTTCCATTTTATCGGGCCTGAAGATAAAGATTTAAAAAAATCCATCAAAGACATAAGGTCATCTAATGTGTTGCTAATCTGCTCTTAGCATAAGGGTTACCCTGAGCTATTCCCAGTAATTTTCAGAGACAAAATCCTCTCGGACAGTTAGGTAACTTAGAAACAGTGCTTTAAATCAGAGACAGGCACATGAGAACCCTCATTAAACCTTCCTCCACCGTGGCTCCAAACAGGCCCCTTTGATGAGAAAGTCCATTTACCAGCTGAGATCAAACCAGTCAAGAATCAGAATGAAGGACTATGTCCAAGGTACCGATGGTTTAATCCTCTGCAAGAACTTCCGCCCCCTTCTACCACGGCCTCTGTAAATCCCACAGCGGAGTGTGAACATTAAAACCACGCACTGAAAATAATGCGTCTCTATTTCATTTCTCTTTCCAGGTTTGAGATTTTTAAGAGCTCTCAGACTGATCCAGTTTTCAGAAATTCTGCAGTTTCTGAATATCCTTAAAACAAGGTAAGAGGTTCTTGCTCCTGTTTTCTCCTCATTACCATCTCCAGTACCCCATTGTAAATATGAGGTGTGCTTAGTTTTCATCACAATCAAGTTCAAACCTGTTATTCACAGAAAGAGTGATGTAACCCAGAGATCTGGGGAAAGTCCAGGGTAGGGTTTGGGCCGCTGTCTTCAGCAGGGCTGGGGACTCTGTGCTAGAGAGAGACAAACAGCTGTGCCTGTGTCCCCAGGTTGGAGGATTGTGCGGGGTTGCCTGGAAATCAGGAAATCAGCCACAGCGTCATGGGGAGAGTGCACAGCGGATGAGGGATACATCTGCTCATTGATTTGGAAGTCCTTGCTTCCAGTTCTAAATTGCCCCTTTATTACATCACTAAATAAGAGATTGAACCTGGCCGTAAAAGCAATAGAAGCAATGCTTTTTGAGAGGCAATCACAAACCCCGTATGGCAAACAGAAAATCATTTTATTTCAAAGTACATTTTAGATGTTCATTTTATAGCCAGTGTAGCCCCTGGGGTTTGCTCTGCGAATTGCCTTTTGGGGAATACCTAAAAACCTCCTGCCGAAGCTCCATGACTATTTCTGTTAGCCGTGTTATGGTCTGGAAAACACTACCGGACCAGGAGGAAGCGTCCCCCAGAGACCCCTTTCCTGATGACCTGTGGGTTCTCAGAGCTGGCCTGAACCCAGGGCTGTCTTGATGAATAAACTAATAAAAGAAGTTAGACGTACTCTAACGGAGAATAAGTACAGGTCATGAATTTCTCTTTCAGGAAATTACACTTTAAGACACTCACTGCTAATGTTGCATTTCTTCTTCCTTTTTTTTTTTATTAGTTTCAGGTGTACAAAACAATGTAATAGACATTTACACCCCTCCCAAAGTGATAAACCCCTCCCCCAATCTACTATCCCTCTGACATCTCCATTTCTTCTTAACATGTTTGATAAATGATTAGAAACAGGGCACCTCTATTTTGTGATTTATAATGAACACATCTGCATTTTGGGGGCCTTGGATTCAGCGTCATTTTCCCAGTAGCTGAGGCTGGGACTCAGCTTCCCGAATCTGCCATGTCCAGCAAATGTGACAGGCTATTATTGGCTTTCCTCTTTGGGTCTTAGTGTTTTCTGTGTGTTTATTTTTATTTGTTTTAAGCCCAAGTTGGTTTTCCCTCCTTAACTACTCATCTGTGTGAATGTGAGGTAAATTTACTCTCTGTTAGCCAAGTTAAACAGAAAGTGAGCATCTAACGCTATAGAAGTCCTCTATGGTATGCCCCACCAGCCTACCTGTTCATTATGCTGGGGTCAGAACTTATCAGTCCTCCATTGAATAGTATGTAATAGTATTGATACAGAGTGACTATCGTTCATCTTCATAATTCCTCTGAGGGACAATAACCTTGATTCCTGCCCTTTTATGGCTCCTCTATATAATGGACTCTTAAGACTCTTGAAATTAAAATTATCAACAAAGTGAGCAGTCCTCAGTGTTTCCCTATATCATGTGTGCTCCACTAGACTGTATTTTTTAGGGCAGAATCAGTGAGTACCCAGTGCCGATCACAGGGGCTATCTTTAAGAGATACTCGTTTTTTCTAGTGGGGATGGTGTTATGTGGAGCCATCCACACTTTCTAACATGGCGTAGTGCCCCTCTCTCCCTGTTTCATGTTTACCTCATAAATTCAGTGGTTTCTAGTTCTCCTACACCAGGATTTTAAGAAGGTGCCATTACTGGGAAGAATAACATGGAGAGGACTGTGTTCTCACCTTCCTTGTATTCCACGTGGCTCCTTTCTGGACTTGGGAGAATGATGAGTCATCAAAATAAAATATGTCTTTCTGGACTTTGGTCCAGAGACCCACCCAGTTCCCATTCCTTGGAAAAGATGCCTTTCTGTTGTCTGCAGGAAATAGCTCTAGCGTCCGTGGTGAGCGGTCCACCTGACAAGTCTACACTATGGGTGGTTCATTCTCCCAGTGCAGAGGGGAAAGAGCTGAAGCAGCCAGCTAGGGAAAGAGGTGATTCTGCAAATGGGGAGAGAGCGCCCCCCCCCAGGGAGGGGACATGAGGTGGCAAGCTGCTGGGGGGGCATCTGTTACCCTGAGCCCAAAGTAGCATTTCTTCAGAACCCCACTTTCCACTGAAACTCCTTCTACCGCCAGGGGATGCTTGTCATCACAACCCCACAACTTAGATTGTCCTAGTTCCTGTAACTTCTGGTCACAACCAGGTGACTGAGTCAATTCAGCAAGCCTGAGTGGAACACCCATTGGTGCCATCAGTGTAGTGGGGTGAGATAGAGAGCTCACTAGGGGAGGAGAGCCAGCCTCTTGGCGGTGTGGTTGGTGCTGACATACAGGTATACCTGGGGAAGTGAGGCATGGAGGAAAGTAATTAAGTTGGGCTTAGCATGAGTATGGGGCAGTCAAGGATCTCTTGAAGGCACAGGTATGTTAGGTAAGCCTTGGAGAAAGCTAGGTGTCATCATGGTGGGGCTGGAGATTGGGCATGTGAGATGTAAGGAGAGCGGGGCTGACTTCCAATCAAAGATGCTGCGGAAAGCACTCAGGTGAGAGAACATGGCCCTTGGGGGAACTCGGAATAATTCTGTGCTCCTGGAGACTGGAGGTTCTATGATAGGTAAAAAGAAAGCTGAGGTCAGGAGGGTAGGCAAAGGCCAGATCTCCAGGCACAGATTAAAATTGCACTGAATGGAAGGAACTCTAGATGCTTGAGGACAACTTTCTGAACCCATCCTGTTTCCAGGTGCCTGGCTAATCTTGGCTTCTGTGCACACTAAACACAGATCCCACAGAGCAATGAAAGCCTTGGCTTTTTGTAGGGCTGTAGATTTTGAGAGATTTTCTGGTGATTTTCTTTGTACCTTGCTGCTTTCCTGGTGACCTTCCAGAAGTGTGGGTTAAGACTTATAATCTCTAGGGAGATTTTTTTCTGGTTTTCTTTGGTGGCCATTTCCTCCCGATGTGTGGCATTAGGTAGTGATGGGGACATTGCAAACCTGATTTGAAATAATGATTTGAAATTGCAGTTTCATTTTCTGTTCTTTGGGTGCCTTGCTTGGCCAAAAGTTGGAAGAAACAGGACAGAAAGATA